GGAAAAAGCTGACATCTTATTTCATGGAAAAACACATGACTGGACGGCACATAACAACAACAGTCTAGTCAACAACAACAAAAATAGTACACAAAAGTGAAAATTAAAATTGATATAGTCCTTAAGCACACAGCACTGGACTGAAAAGCAACCCAGTGATAGTTGGAGAAAAGATACAACAATCTCATTTTACTTAGATCCACAGTCAACACTCATGGTAGCAGCAGTCAGGAAATCAACAGACATGTTACGCCGGGGATATCTATTGTCATGGACCTCTCCAAAGTTCTCAAGAGCCAGGATATCCATTTAGAGACTGAGGTGCCCCTGATCTAAGTCACAGTCTTTTCAATTACTTTCTGAGCACCTAAAAGTTGAACAATGAATGAGGATGACAGAAGAATCAGTATCTTTGAATTGCACTGCTGACAAAGAGTATTGAATATTCAGTAGTCTTTCAAAAGAACAAATAATTCTGTCTTGGAGGAAGTACAACCAAGGTGCTCCTTAGAGGCAAGGATGGTATTTTTACAATTTGTTCTGCTAAGATTAGTAGCAGACCAGTTATAAGAAGTATCAAGTTAATATTGCCTCAAATGCTTGGCTGATGTAGAAGGCTGTGATATCCAGCATCAACAGCTCCTCTCTGTCCCTTGGGTTCAGTGGTTCACTAGTCTACCAAAGACACAGTCCTGTCAGGGAAATGTCTCACGTGAGTACAGAGATGCAGGCGGGTTTTGCAGAAACTGGTGAGCTATGGGCCAGGATCCTATAGACTATCAGTCACACAGCTGGATGGTGACTGTGGATGATACAGGCAGGTGGTTTGGAGATTGGTGAGCAATGAACCAGACTGGATGCAGCTGGATGCTGTGTCCCAGGAGAGCAAGTGTTCCACATGAGAAAGTGCCTAGTGCTGAGGACCCATGAGTTTATATAAGCCACTAGTAGGGTAGGCTTGTATTCCATCCTAATCCTCTCTCCTTAATACAATGTAATTGCTTCAACACAAAATAGTTAATGACTGGCTAGGAAAGACAACTGAATGAAAAACCTAAGAGACCCAGAGATGGTGAAACTTCCTGTCATACATTTTGGGGTATGTTGGCAGGAGGGGCTGATATTTGGGAAAAAGCATCATGCATGGGAAGGTGGAGGGTCAGTGGAGGAAAGGATGACCCTCAATAAGACGAAAGGCGCAGAGACTGTAACAGTGGGCCTGAGCAGGCTGGGGATCTCGAGGATGGCACAGGACAGGCCAAGTTCAGATCTGGTGTTCACACAGTTGCTGTGAGTCATACTTGACTTGATGGCAGCCAACAACAAGCACACAGCAAACACAGCCACTGGGTCTGTTCTGATTCACAGGGATCCTCCATTGGGTTTCTGCAATTTTAAATCTTAACAGGAGGAGATGCTTATGTTTCTCCCGTGGATTTGAACTGCCAGAGGTGCACAGTCCTCTGGACAGCAGCACAATTCCCTCCACACCAAGCCACCAGAGTTCCTCATAGACTGCGTGAGGATGGAGACTCTCAGACCTGCTCACGTGGCCCACTGTGAAAACCCCGTACAGGGGGCTCAATATTTCTGGCAAGCAAGTTGGTACTGCAGAGCAGTCATGGAAACACCTTCTGCTCCAATTTATAAATTGTGGTGCTCGGGGTGGGGGTGGAGGACTGCCAAGAGAATAAACAGGTTTCTCCTTGAAGACAAGGATTTTTGAAGCTCTGACTCACATACAAGGCCAGAAAGGACCAGACCTTGGAGAGGGACATCACGCAAGGAAGGCTGGAAGGACAGTGCAGAAGAAGACCCTGGATGGGATGGATTGACCCAGTAACAAGGCAATGGGGGTAGGTGTGTCGGAGACAGAGAAACTGGCTCAGGATACAGAACAGTTCAGAGCTATTGTATATAGGGTTGCTATGAGTTGCCGGTGACTTGATGGCACATAACAACAACAACAACATACAAATTTAAATTAACAGCTCAAAAATGGATTAACTCAAGGTGCCATTCCTGCCTAGCACTTAGTCTCAGGAATGGAATTGGGTGCTCTCCTTGAAAATGGTCTTTAATTATCACAGATGACAGAACATATGATCCTATTTGCTTTTTAAATAGCTGCACCTTTGAATACGTACACATTTGAATTTTTTAAAATGCAAAGAAAATGGCCTAGAAGAACACAAATTAAACTGGTTCACCTCAGCTTCTGAGGTGAGGCATGAGACTGGGCAAGATGTCAAGGATCAGTTTTCACCTTGTATTCTGTATTATTTATGTACTTGCCAAAATGGTTTGATTTTTTTTTCTCCATTAGTCAATAAAGGTCCACTGGAGTTGGAAATTGTCTATTTTGATTGCTTTAGATCCTCAAGTCTGTTGCAGGGGAATAAGACACCCTAAATTTCAACATATTCCGTAGAGATGGTTTTACTGTGACATTTAACAGGACAAAAACAAGCAAGCAATGGGGTAAGCCCATGAACAATGGTGCTGACTGTATCCCACCAATGGATTCATGGCCACAGCCTTCCTTCAGAAGCCAGTACTTGATTTTCTACATCCCTCCCTTCTCTTCTCTTTACAGGGAGTTCTGGTGCCCTTGTGGGTAAGGAGCTGGACTGCCCACCCAAAGGTTTCATAGCGACCCTATGAACTAAAGGCCTGAAGCCGTTCATAGAGTTTTCGGAGGCATGTTGTTTAGGAAGTGGATGCCATTCCTACTTGATTCAAATCCACCAGCTGCTCCACGAGACAAAGATGGGCAATCTTCTCCTGTGCAATTTGCTGCCTCTAAAAATCTGCTGGAAGGTCAGCTATGAGTGGGTTCTGACTCAACAGCACATAACAATAACAAGTCCCACTGCACTTGGCTTCTTGGAGCCATTTACTATTCCTGGAATCTGAATGACCTTCCTATATGCAAACACAACAGCTCAGAACAAACCTCATTCCACATTTCTGTGAGTTGTGATTCTTTCTCAGTAGCAGTGAGCCCATCTGCGTCAAAAGAGACCTGTGCTCTACAGGGTTTTTTCAATGATTAAGATCTCTCAGAAGTAAACAGCCAGGACTTAATTTGTCCCAAAGTGCCTCGGGGTTGATCTGAACCATCAATCTCTAGTTAATAGCTGAGTGTTTAGCTGTTTTGACCCCAAGGGACCTCTGCTATCATGTTTTAACAGCGTGGAGCATAAAACTAAAGGATACTAGGGAGCTCTGGTGGCCTAGTGGCAAAACGCTGCACTGCAATCCCAGAGGTACACGGTTCAAATCCACCAGATGCTCTGCTGGAGAAGGAGGGGGCAATCTCCTCCTGTACCAGTCAGATCTGATTTGATGGTACACATAAAAATAATACAATAAAAATTTTAAAAAAACCCACCACAACAAAAAAAACTAAAGGATACTAAGAGTACAGGCATCCAATCTGAGTCTAGGCCCCCCTCCCTATTCTCTATATCTTCCACAACCAGGCCAAGTTCCATGTTCTCCTGTGACAAGTCCTCTCCCCAGCTGAGAGTATTTGTAATGAAACCAAAGTCTCCCAAAGCAATTCACGAAGCAGAAGGCCAGGTAAGGATGAGAACAATATTTATCGGATGGCTACCCTCCCACATTCAGCAAAAATGAAACTGAAGAACAAAGTCCCTGTCCTGTCTTCTCTCCTCCCCAGGTCCCATGTTGATGATTTCTGTTCTCTTTACATTTATCCTGAGTTTTGGTGGCTTGATTTGAAAAACCAGGTTATATTTTAGAACCTTGAAAATACCAGACTAGGAATTAATATCAATCATGGCTCCCAAAGGTTAATTTCACATAACACATTGCTTTGGACAGTAAATACGGCAAAGAAAAAAAAAATCAAAACACCTATGAGATATCCTCTCACTCCAGTAATAACAAAATTTAACAGAACAGCAAACATCAAATGCTGGTGAGCTTGTGGAGAAACTGGAACCCTTATTCACTGTTGGTGGGAGTGTAAAATGGTGCAACCACTGTGGAAGGCTGTATGGCACTTTCTCAAAAAGTTGCAAATAGAAATACCATTTGACTCAGCAATTCTACTACTGGGAATATACCCCAAAGAGACCATAACCACCACCCAAACAGATATATGCACATCCATGTTTATCGTGGCTTTGTTCACAATAACAAAGAGTTGGAAACAACCCAAGAGCTATCAACAAACAAATGGATAGAGAAGCTCTGATATATTCACACAACTGAATACTATGTAGCATTTAAAAACAGTATTATACAAAATGGATGACCTTGGAGGACATTATGCTGAGTAAAATATCTTAGTCACAAAAGGACAAATATTGCATAGACCCAGTGTTATAAAACGGACTGACATCAGGGTAGAGGGAAGAAAGAGAAGGAGGGGAGGAATGATATATATGCATTGAAACAGATGAGAGAGAGAACTGTTTAAAAGGGATATATGACTGGGTATTATTGTCATGAGCGGAGACCAGAATGAAGGCTGCACAGTGGAGTAGACTTGGGGGGAGCGATGAAACAATGAAAGAGTTTTCTTTTACTTTTCAAGGAGAAAAGTGAATTGGGGGGGGGGAGTGGGCAGAGAGAAAAGTGCAACAATGAATGAATAGAAATCCAAAGTCTCTGCAAACTTCCATTAAAATGAATAAAAAAAAAGAAAAACAATTCTTAGGCAAACAAAGCTGGAAAATGCTATATAACCTCCCCTTGGGGTGGGGAAAATGACATAATATTAAATGCAATGTTATAAAGAAAATGGTTATACTTTATTTAGAACCAAACATTTCTCTAATTTATTGAAGCACAGTCATTGTTTTGATAATCCAGGTTGAAAACAATATTCTACATACAGTTGGTTAGATGCTTTGCTAGATCAACTTGATGGAAAAAAGCAGTTACCCTGGTACAGGGCTGCCTCAGCCAGGCACATGGCTGACCCAGCAGGGCACAAGGCTAGAGGCTCCGGTGACAGTCTGAGGAAGTCAGTCCTTATATTCTTCTACAGACTTATCGCTGGATGACTGCTGGGCTCTCCTCATGCTTTCCAAGTTCAGTTTTTTGTACTTTCTTTTAAAAAAGCCACACTGAAACAAAGGGAGGGGAAGTCCAATTTTCTGACAACCCAGTCCTTCCAGACCACTTCTCAAGGCTCCTGTCCACAAGCCTGTCCTGAGCTCATTGCCAATCCCTCCCTCCTCTAGATCTCAAGGCACTTTCACCTTGTTAACTTAAGGGACTTTTCTTGAGGTTAGACATGGGCAGAGGGCAGCAGGCGGAGAGCACTGAGTAACTATAAACAGAGTCTGAACTTTAAGACATGAAGGGAAGGATTCAGGTAGGGAGGGGGAGATGTGGCAATCAGTTCTGGTGTGGGAAGATCTCTCTGATTTCTCTGCATACCAACACAAAAGACTTCTGTCTTTTTTCAGACAGAAACTGTTTGTGATCATTTGCGTAAACATAGGAGGCGGGGGGGTGAAGGCAGGGCAGAATGGCTCCTAAAGCCAGGGCAGCTGCTCCGAGAAAGTGGCTGGTTTTATGTGGGAGCACGAGGCCCAGTACCGGGGTTCAGCTTAGTCCTCTCCCACCCTTACAAACACGAGAAGAACTGACCTTCATGAGGATGACTATGATCACAATCAGAACCAGGAGGCCACCAACACTGCTTCCAATGACAGTGGACAAAGACAGGAACGCCTGGTCATTCAGAAAGATGATGGTGCTCTAGAATAAGAGGAGAGATCATCAAATACGTGAGGTGAGACAAATGGGAAGAAATCCCACGCGGGCAAAATATGACGATCTGGCAACATTCTGGGTATTGATCAAGACTAATGGCAGGAAAGCAAAAACGTTAAAATGTTCCTGATGCAACATCTAAAATTACTTAACGCTTAAGATACATTATGAAAAATTATTTTGATCTCTTTGTTTGGAAGAGCTATGCCTGTGAGGAGCTTGTGACCTTGTCTGAACAGAACAAAGGAACAAACACTGCATGGTTTAAAATCAGGAAAGGTGTGCATCAGGGTTGTATATACTTTCTCCATACCTATTCAATCTGTATGCTGAGCAAAAAATATGAAGAATAGGGCATTAGGCTTAGTAGAAGATGCATCAACACAGCATTATGTCTATGATACAACCTTGCTTGCAGACAATGAAGATGACTTGTGCCATATTTGCTATTGAAGATCAAAGACAACCACCTACAACATGGGTTACATCTCAACATCCAGAAAACCAAAATTCTCTCACCATTGGACCAAGAGGCAACATGACGATAGTTGGAGAAAAGTTGTCAACAATTTCATTTTACTTTCATCCATAATCAAGACCCTTGATACCAGCAGTCAAGAAATAAAAAGACATGTTGCATTGAGGAAATCTGCTATTAAGGATCTCTCAAAGTGCTAAAGAGAAACAATAGGCATCAGCTTAAATTACTAAGGTTCATCAGATCCAAGTCATGGTATTTTCAACTGCTTCTAATGCATCTAAAAGTTAGACAATGAGTAAGGATGACAGAAGAATTGATGCCTTTGAATTGTGGTGCTGAGGAAGAGTACTGAATACCCCATGGACTGTCAAAAGAACAAACAAATCTGTCTTGGAGGAAGTGAAACGGCGCTGGGTGCTCCTCAGAGGCAAAGACGATAAAGGTTTTCATATACTCCGGACATGTTGTCTGGAGGGGCCAGCTCTGGGAAAAAGATAGCATGCTATGAAAGGCAGAAGGTAAAGAAAGACCCTCAGCAAGACGGACTGACACCGTGACTGTAACAACAGGCTCAAGCATATCAGAGAGGGTAAGGATGGCGCTGGATCTGGCAAAGTTCAGGTCTGTTGTTCACAGGGCACTATGAGTTGAAGTTGACTCACTGGCACCTAACAACAACATTATATTAAAATGTATTTAAAAGACCACTGAATGAGGAGACAGCAAATATAAACAATAGGAGATAGGAAATAGAAACACCAGCATCTTCTTCCCCACCCTTGATTATGAATTGATTGAAAGTTTACAAAGCATCTCCACTTTTTTTATCATTAAGTCACATGCATTTTGATTCATGCCACTGACTACAATGCTTAACAGTGTAAAATCATTCATTCCACTTCATCCCTTTTCCATTTCCCCTTCTCTCCTAATTCTCCCGGCCTTCTGAACCTTGTTGTTGTTGTTGTTATATGCTGTCGAGTCGCTTGCGACTCATAGCAACCCTATGTACAACATCTCTAAACTCTGCTCTGTCCTGTGCCAATCGCACCATTTCTGATACACCCATCTGATTACCCCTGTCACTGAATCAATCCACCTCATAGGGGGCTTTCCCCTTCTGCACTGCCCCTCCACCCTACCAAGCATGATGTCCCTCTCCAAGGACCTGTCCCTCCTTGCAAAGTATGCTAGACGGAGCCTTAGAATCCTTGCCTCCAAGGAGCAGGCCGGTTTGACCCTTTCCAGGATGAATCTGTTTGTTTTCCTAGCAGTCCATGGTATCCTCAATACTCTTCTCCAGCATCAAAGCTCAAAGGCATCAATTCTCCTTCTATCCTCCTTGATCATTGTCCAACTCTCTGATGCATAACAAGTGATAGCAAAGACCATGGCCTGTATCAGACGCACCTTAGTCTCCAAAGAGACACCATTGCTCTTCAGTACTTTGGAGAGGTCCCTAACAGCAGACTTTCCCATCGCAATACGTCTTCTAATTTCCTGGCTACTGGTGCCAAGAGTGTTGACTGTGGAGCCAAGCAAACTGAAGCTGTGAACAATCTCAATCTCTTCTGAACCTTACCCTTGGGCAAATGCTGCCCTTTTGACCTTGAATGGTTGATAGGTGCACTTGAGACTCACTGCCAGGAATGTATCTGAGCTTGAGATTCACACATGGAAGTCAAGAATTCTACCACTGAACCCCAACTCAGGAGCTCAACGAGGATAAAGTTCTCGACCTTTGATAGTCCTTAAAATTAAGGAGCTAGCAAAGCAACACAGAGAGAACAAGTCAGCTTAGCCTTTTATAGAAGAATGAGGGTGCAGGGGGCTGGGTGGGTAGGAAGGATTTGAACCTGGGTTTAAGAAAGTAATGAAATAAATTAATTTTAAAACAACAGTGGTGTAACAGGTCAGAACTGAGTAGAAGAAATGTGTCCAACTGTCAAAAGCTCTTCTCCCTTTCCCCTACTAAACTCATAAATTCCTCAGTGTGTCCCACAGCTGCCCTGGGAGAAGTAGGGCACAGGATGCTGCTTGCAGCAAACACCAATGGAAGCCTACTCAACAGCCATGGGCTCCTTTCAGATTTTGTCCAGGAATCATGACTGGTCCAAGCCATCATGACAACGCCATTGCACTCTGCCTGGCATGGGATCAGGTTCTCACTGATCAGTTTAACCAAGCCATCATGACAACGCCATTGCACTCTGCCTGGCATGGGATCAAGTTCTCACTGATCAGTTTAAAGACTAAGGTGCTCCTGATGCAAGCCATGTCTTTTTAATCACTTGCTATGGATTTGAAAGTTGGGCAATGAATAAAGGTGACACAAGATGCATTAAAGCCTTCAAGCTGCGGTGTTGGAGAAGAGTACTGAATATCTCACGGACTGCTGAAGAAACACACAAGTATGTCTTGGAGAAAGAGCCACCAGGCCGCTCCTTAGAGGCAAGGATGATGAAGCTTCATCTCACATACTTTAGGCATGTTGTTATGAGGGGTCAGTCTTTGGAGAAGGACATCTTGCTTGGATAGGTGGAGGGTCAGTGAAAGAGAAGATTCTCCAGGAGATGGATTGACACAGTGACTGCAATAATGGGCTCAAGGACATCTGAGATGATGATGGCATTGGAGAGGGCAAAGTTCAGACATGTTGTTCATAGGGTTTCTGAGTTGTAGTCGACTCTATAGCATAACAACTGCAATGTGACAGGAATCAGCAGGTGGGGCAAAAGGTTAACATATTTGGCAGCTACATGAAAAGTTAATGGTTCAAATCTACCCAGAGGAACTGCAGAAGAAAGACCTGGCAATATACTTTTAGAAAACCAGCCATTGAAAAGTCCCCGGAACACAGTTCTGCACAGGACAGACACAAGTTGAAGCAAAAATTGATTCTACTCATGTTATAGAAGAAATCACCGAGGCAGAAGAATCTAACTCCTTCCAGGACAAAATGTAGTTGTTGACAGAAGCAAGAGTAGGAGTAAGACTGAGAAATGGGAAGGAGGTAGCAGCAGAGTGCTGAAAAAGCCTCAAAGGCGAGGCAGGGTTTTCCCCAGATAGAATATTATCTAAAACAAGCCAGACATTACCTTGGTTTTGTGGTTCTCTGCATTCAGCCACACATACAGACTTTCATCAAAAGTTATTTCACCGAAGATCTGCAGTTCACCTATATCTAGTAACTGCAAGATGGAAGGAGAAAAATAAAAGCTATTTTAGACCTTGTTTTGGGACATCTTTCCCCTTACCATGTTGCTTCTCTGGTCAAGTTAGTGGCCATCCTACCCACAAAGTTATCCAAGCCAGAAACATGGGGTTATTACCCAATGCCTTTGCCTTCACCTTTCACCTCATGCTGCCTCTCTCCAAATCAGTTTTGTTTTGTTTCGAGGGGGCGGGGGGTGTCTCTCTTGCACCAGATCTTTTCCCTCCATTGCTAACTGCTTTAGTTCAGGTCTCATCATACTGAAATGGATCACTACAAGATGTGAAACTCCCTCAGTAATTCTCATGTTAAAATCAATGACTAGGAAGATTTTTTTTTCCTGCCCCTAAGATGACACTTGGAGCTCTGGTGGCCTAGTGGCAAGACACTGAGCTGCATTGCCAAAAGCACGCAGTTCAAATCCCACCAGCTGCTCCACAGGAGCAATCTCCCCTGCGATTAACTGCCTTTGAAAACCCACCAGAGGATCAGCTATGGGTCAGTTCCGCTTGACAGTACACAACAAATAACAAAGATGGTGACTTAGATAAACATGATAAAAAACCACCCACATGAGGATAGAAAGAAAGAGTGACATCATGTAGAAGGACCAGCAAGTGCAAAGGTCCTGTGGTCAGTACCATATCAGCAAGCTAGAAAAACAAAGGATAGACTAGCTGGAGAATAAAAAGCAGAGAGAAAGAGTACTAAAGAAGCTGGAGTAGCAAATAATGTTTTGCAGAGAAAAAAGTGTAGATTTTAGTTGTAAACATACTGAGATGTAACTTATTTTTTTTTAACTCAGAGTAGTTGTTGTTACGCTATACCTTCAAGTTGGAATCAACTTGGTTTCCAATGGGTTTCAGAGGCAGTAAATTGCACAGGAAAAGACTTGCCATCTTTCTCCCATGGAGCAGTTGGTGGATTAGAACCACATGTCTTTGAGTTAGCAGAGCAGCTCTTTATCACTAGGCCACCAGATCTCCTCACCTAGAATATTAGCTCAATCTAATTTTGCTTTTACAAGGTCACAGCTGTTGTGCGGAGAATGATTTGTAGAGGATATAGCAAGATCTGGGTAAAAAAAAAAGCAGGGAAGTTATTGCAACATTCCCAGTAAGAAATGGTGGTTGGACCACAACATTAGCAGTGACAAGGGGCAGAAATGGATTGATTAAGGACACGTTGTAGAGACAGAATAACAAGTCTTGCTGATGGAATAAATATGAGGTTGTAGGAAAGAGAAGAATCACAGGTAAATCCTAGGATTTGGGGCTGGGGCAGCAGATGAATCAATAGAGCTTTTTGACATGTTATATATCTGGTGGTCTAGTGGGTAGGGAGTTGTGCTGCATCTGTTCAGCTGTGCAGTAGTGCTCCAAAGGCAGGCAACTGGGATCCTCCGGAAGTTTCAAGGGAGAAACGTGGGCAATCACCTTCTTCGTGATTTATAGCCTCTGAAAACCCACTGGAGGGTCAGCTATGACTCATTCTGACTCAACAGCAACACATCCGACTCCCTGATGTTATCAGCCTTTCAAAGAGAGATGCCAAGGGGCAGCTGGATCATCAAATGTGGAGCATCTGACAGTCTCAAGTACCTACCTGCTCATGGTGCCCGGAAAACTCTGCAGCCACTGTTATATTTTCTTTATTGGAAGTGATATCACAGCTCGCTGAATACCATTCTTCCACATGCTGGGAGATTAAAACTTGTGGTTAGCATAATCCTTTGTCACATGCAAAGAAAGAAAAACTAAGAGAGCAGACAGCACCTAAAGGTCTCAGAACACAGGGTATGGCCGTTCCGGGGTTCAGCTTGGCTACAGCACAGCCCCAGCCCTGGCAAATGTGCCCCATGAATGAGGGAAGCTAGAGGTGGCCATGGATTTGCTACATGGGATAAAGTGGTATGTGGGTACTGTCATTGATATTAGTGGAAGATCGGCAGTTTGAACCCACCAGTCGCTCTGCAGTGGGGAGATACGGCAGTGGGCTTCCCTAGAAATTCTAGCTTTGAAGACTTTAAGGGTTAGTTTATTGTATTCAACAGAGTCGCTAGGAGTCGGGCAATGAGTTTACAGCATATTCTTGTCATTCGCTTCAAGACCTCCCTACCTTCCACGACCACGTCGCGACTGCTGAGCTCACCTGACCACGGTCGATTCTACAATCGTGTCTCTGGCTCGTGGAGCACCCAACGCCGGCCTGAAACGAGAGCGACCCCGCGCCAAGCAGTCAGAACGCAAACCCACCAAGACGGTCTCCCACACCCAACTTCCCCGACCTCTGAGCGGAGGCGCTAGGACCCGGCGGGCTGGCGGGCTGGCGGGCGGGCCGCAGGCGCGCGCACGTCTCGCGGAAGTCTCGCGGTGTTTGCATTTGAACTCTTGGCGGGTGCGGGGCATGGCGGCTTTGCGCCCGCGACCCGGGAACCGACTCTTCCGAACTTACGGACCTGTCGCCAGCTGGGGGCCACGGCCGTGGCCCGGGCGGGCAGCCGCGCAGTGGTTCTCGCCGCAGGACCGGAAACATCTGTTTAGCAGCAGCAGTAGCAACAACGCTAGCAGCAGCTGCCCCTCGGAGTCGGTCGTTTCCGACGACTCTGATGATCCGGACTTCCGCGGGAGTCCGGTCCGTCCGCGGCGGAGGCGCCCCTGCAGCCGAATCCCCAAGGATCTGCCGAGCCTAGTCGTCACCCCCAGACACCTGAGACTGCGAGCGCGACCCCCGCAGAAGTGCAGCACCCCGTGCAGTCCCCTCGGCCCGCCGCCCTTCCCCGACTGCAACCCGGGCCTCCTGAGCCCGGACCTCAGCGTGTGCAGCCAGCGCGGGGATGCCGACGAGCAGGGCACCAGCGCCTCCCTGTTCAGCGCCCCCACATCTCCCCGCAGCCCCAGCCCTACAGCCCCCGCAACGCCAGGGGACGATGTCATCTGTGTCGGCGGCTCGGCCACTATGGATCCAGCCTCCAGGGTCCCCGGAGACGCCCGCTGCCCGGACCCGGCATCGCCACCTTGGACGAGGAAAGCAGCGGCCAAGGGAGGCAGGCTCACCAGGGCCGCGCTCAGGTCAGCTCTCTTCCAAGTTATAGACTCGGAGAACTCTGAGTTTGGGGCCACTGGGAAGACTCTGAGGGAGGCCTGCAGTAAGAGCGGACTGGTGGGGGACAGGCTGGGGGGCGCAGGTTTGTCAAACACCAGAAAGACGAGAGCCACCGCCCGGCGCCCTGTGCAGGACGTCCGGATGGAATCCGAGGCGGCCAGTGGCTACAAGGGCAGGACTCGAACTGGGGAGATCAAAAGACCAGAAAGGACTAGACCATCCCTGAAGAGGAAGCATCAGGAGGTGGCAGAAACTTCCCTTCTTCATGACCGTCCGTCTAAAAAGGGCCAAAAGAGGCAGAGAAAGTCATTCGTCTCGCAGAACTCTACTCAGTCACAAGATTCCTGCTCCTGGGCCAGGACCAGGGCCTCGCTCTCTTTCCACAAGAAGAAGATTGTAACTGCTGTGACAGATGTGGGCAGCGTGGACTATTCTGCCTCCGAGTCCCTCCTATCAGAATACACCAACCATTCCATCGTGAACAGAACAAACAGTGCCCACTCTGCTTGGCACTCCTCCTCCATGTATTTGCTGAGCCCCTTAAACACGCTGCATATTGTAGACCAAAAGACATCACATGCAGAGAAGGTTTTTGGGGAATGCAGTCAGGAGGGCCCTGTGCCCTTCAGCTGCTGCCTTCCCACAGAAAAATTGGAACACTGCGAGAAGATTGGGGAAGGCGTGTTTGGTGAAGTGTTTCGGACCATTACGAACTGTGCACCTGTGGCTTTGAAAATCATTGCCATCGAAGGTCATGACTTAGTCAATGGATCCCATCAGAAAACCTTTGAGGAAATCCTTCCAGAGATCATCATCTCCAAAGAGTTGAGCCTCCTGTCGCAAGAGGCACACAACCGCACTGAAGGCTTCATTGGCCTGAACTCAGTGCACTGTGTCCAAGGGACATACCCTCCCTTGCTCCTCAGAGCCTGGGATCACTATAACTCCACCAAGGGCTCTGCCAATGACCGGCCTGACTTCTTCGATGACCATCAGCTCTTCATCGTCCTGGAATTTGAGTTTGGAGGGACTGACTTGGAGCGAATGAGAACCCAGTTGTCCTCTATCGCTACGGCCAAGAGCATCCTGCACCAGATCACCGCCTCCCTTGCTGTGGCAGAGGCATCCCTGCACTTTGAGCACAGAGACCTGCACTGGGGGAACGTGCTGTTAAAGAAAACCAACCTCCAAGAGATCGATTACACTCTGAATGGGAAGACCAGCACTATCCCCACCCGGGGGGTGCTTGTCAACATCATTGACTACACCTTGTCACACCTGGAGCGGGATGGAATAGTGGTTTTCTGCGACATTTCCATGGACGAAGACCTATTTACAGGTGAGGGTGACTACCAGTTTGAAATCTACAGGCTAATGAGGAAGGAGAACAACAACTGCTGGGGTGAATACCACCCTTATAATAATGTGCTCTGGCTCCATTACCTCACGGATAAGATTCTGAAAGAAGTGAACTACAAGCATAAAAATACCTCCTCTACTATGAAGCAAGTGAAGCAGGAGATCCAACATTTTTATAAGACAATGTTGAACTTCCGCTCTGCCACGGAGCTGCTTTGTCAACACAGTCTATTTAAGTAAGTCAGATATGCCTTACTGCCCAGTCAGAAGACACTGTTCTAGAAGCCCCTAGGGTACTGTCCTCCCATCTCCTCACCCACAGCAGAGTGGAATGCCCATTCCTCCACGTTTTCAAATCATAATTTTGCTTCCAAGTGGTACTGCCAAAAGGATTAAATAGCTCTTAACCTATGACATACAAGAACAAGTTTATAAATTCTGACAACAGAGCCCACTCTGTAAATGCCTTCTCATATTTTCACTTTTGAGCCTTGACACCTTTATGTTTTCCTGAGGAAAAAAACACATATCAGGAAAGGCCTCCACTGTCACAATGATGAAAGAGTCTGATGCTCCGGCTTTTAGCCACAACTGAAAGCAGCTGCTGTAGCAAAGATGTAGCCACATGTTCGTCAAATGCTAACCAGTCACAAAGAGAAGTTTTGAAAAGGAAAATAAATGTCTCCATGGGTACTAAAAAGGTTTGCTTTTTTGCTTATTTTTTCATCAAGGGGAGAAAAAGTTTTAAGATAGAAGTTGTTGATATTCCTTCTAAATGTAATTGGTAATTTATTTCTGTTTTCCCATGGTTAATCTAGTTTTTACCCTTTCTAGAACTCTAGATTTTATGTTTTTGGGAATCCCTAGTCACTCGAGAGAGTAATGTGATTGTGGTAAAGAACCACCTTGAAGTACCTGAGCCTTTGTCACGTTCTTCACTGTTAAAACCTGAAGGCCATGGATTTTGACTGGAACACAAATTTTCAACTGGAATCGGGCTCCAAAGAGATTTTCCCCATGAATCTGCAATATAAACCATTGAGTGGGGCGTTAAAGTTGGAGTTCTTTTCACTACTTGTAGCTTTACAGTGATAAATGGTAAGTACTTACACTGAAGAAGAAGTCTTTGTGGTGAGGCCTCTGATTTGTGTTCATGTACATCACTGGTGGTCTGCAATTGAGAATGTGTATGTAATGCTACTTATTGAGGGCATTAAGTCAGAGGACACTGGTCCTTAAGAGGAATCAAAGCTGGCTGTGAAAATGTAGCCATTAGGACAGCTGGGATGAGGTGGACTATTTGAGTTTGTGCTTGGAAAGGTGGAAGGACAGTGCAAGAGGAGACCCTGGATGAGATAGATTGACACAGTAATTAGGTAATGAGGGTAGGTGTGCCAGAGACAGTGAGATTGGCTCAGGTTAGGGCAGGGTACAAGAGCATAGGATCGCTATGAGTCAAAAGCAACCTAAGAGCACACAACATTAACAACATAGGTAGGCTGAGTCTGTATCACCCCACTGTGTGACCTTTTCTTTCTCATATTCCAGCTCCACAGCCCCCTACTTCTCTCCTTAGTATCACAACAATATACCCTTTTGCAGCAAGACTCATTGGCACTGCTCTTTTGATATCACTATGGGTGGGCTTTCTTCTTGGTGTGTGCTGGCCAGTTGATCCCATCATAGCAAAGACAAAGTAGAACTGCCTCCAATGGCTCTGTGGACTGCTTTTTCTAGGAGCACACTGCCAGGTTCATACAGCTAACCTTTGGGTAAATAGCCATGCACTTACCTGTTGTGCCAGAAGGAAACCTTGGACATTTTCTAAGGCCCAACTATTAGTATCTTAAAGATCAATGCATAGCCTGCTTCTAAGTAATCTCAAAGAAGAGTAAGCCCCTCCCATCCGTTCTGACCACTAGTTCCTAGCACAAGAGACTGGTTGAAACTGTCTGCCATGCACAGTCACTGTGGTGGCCCCTTGGGAAGTACTTACTTGGAAAGAACTGCAGTGAAGGCATGCTTGACTTGAAGAGTTTCATTCTTGCTGACTGGAGACTTTGCATTGGTGCTAGGAGATAGAATGTTAGTTCCTAGTATCCTTGCTTTCTATAGAAACAGCTGCTCCTATATCTTGGCTTAGTTAGCTGTACCATCAGGGGTCAGAAAAGCCAAAGACAAGCAACTGGAACACTAAAGAATTTCTAAGAGAAGTTAAAAGATTGCAGATTTGGGGGATTCTTCCTTTATTGGTTCCATTAGTCTTAGGTGGACTGAGAAGACTACATTTTAATAAGCTTTCCAGGTGATTTGAAGGTAGGTGGGCTGGATACCATGCCTGGAGGAAGACTGAGAAGTACTTTGATAACATCATGCCCTGTCCCCTCCTCAGACATTATTTGCAAATAAAAGGTATTCAGGTTAAATAGCCCAGCATTGGAACTGTAGCCTCCTAGGCCAAGGCTTGTTCCACAGTGTCTATTTGTATATGCAGAGAAATGTCTGCGTATCATTGATAATTAGGAAAGAGATACTGTGGGATCTGGTTTTCTTCTGTGGGCTTGTGGATGCTCCTCCCTCAGGTCTTAAGGGAGCTCCCACGCTCACAGCATGAATGTGGGAGACTTCTCCCATGACCGAAGCCAAAGCCGATATGAAGCCAGTACTACTCACCTGTTGACCATCACAGTGATGTCCATCGTCCTGTTGGGAAAGGCATTCTCCTCTATCTGCCAAACTACCAAAATATCTGCCTATTTTTAAACGGGGGAAAAGAAGGATGTCACTTGATTTTTCTTTGTGCCACCCAACAATTCAGTTTGCTTCCTAATAGCTAAGTGAGCCTAGCAAACAATTCATACTTCTCCCAGCATCTCATTTGAGCTCTCAGTGTAGCTCAGGACAGATAGCATTATCCCAATTTTGCAGTGTAAAAAGACACTAGAAACCAGTCACTGCCAAGTGGCACAAAGGTATTGACTGGTCAGGACTCATCTCAAGATGAATAACTTCTGATGTTCCTCTGTCACCCCAACTCTGACTTAGTAGGGTGAGCCAACAGTTTGTCTTTGGCTGCTCTTTGGAAAGCCGCCTCCCACCTCTCCAACTCTATACTTTGAGAGCAGCCTTATCAGTTCTGAGTCTGCTTGTGCACTGACTGCAGTAAGTGATGCACAGGGACCATAATTGCGAGATTCAGACTGGGGTATGTGTTAGTCTGGGCAAAGAGGGCCAAAGGGAAGAATGAAGAATTCAGAACTCAAATGCTGATGGCCTTGCTTGTTGCTGATAAGAGAAAACAGCCTTGCCTGTCTGGCTAAGCTAGCAGGTGGCTCGTAAATCAGAGTGGAATGTCCCTCCCTAAAGACTCTGTTTATAAAAATCCTCCCCGGTAAGTTCACAGTGTGACTTCCCATCCTGCCTCTCCAGGATGAGGAACTCACCTGGGAGCTCCCCTTCCCCCCTCTTTAATAAAGTTGCATTAAACTTTCTCTCATTCTCTCTGATTTCTTCTTTAAGTCCACTAACCTAACCTAACAGTTTGTAGAGACACCAACCCCAGGACAGTGAGAAGAGCCAGCCAATCAAAAGAGACTCACAGATGACCTCTTGAATATGGGATGACCTATCTTGCAGTTCATGGCCAGGACAGAAGCAGCAGCTGGCTGAGGGTCTTCACACTGAATATTTAGTGAGGGAGGCTGTGAACACAGAGGACACTGTTCTTGAAGGGAATGGGAAGGTGGGAGAGCTGTTTCCCCACACAAATCCAGTTACTCTGATTTCCCCCATACCAGGCACCCTCATCTGGACTATTAAACCAGAAATCAGACATAGTCTCTGCCTTCCTCTCAAGCTGGGCAGGAGCATTTAGAAGTAAATCATTGAGGAATTGAAATAATACAGCATATAAAAAAGCCCAAGCTCACCAGGGACTTGCGTAAATCAGCTTTATTGACTTGTTACAGAGAAAAGACCCCTCCCCTGTGGTATAGCTAATAAAGAAGTTATTCTGAGGAAGAGTGGATAAATAAAGCATTTTTATTGGCTTACAGGAAAGTAGGGCAAGGAGTAAAAGGGTCAATTAACGTCAGGTCTGGATGCAACACCATTCAAGAACTCGTTTCCTTGGAATCTATAGAGTTCACACAGATGTGGAAAGATGGGTCCAGAAATCCCATGTCTGCAATTGTTATACAAATATGTTCTACAATTCAGCTGACATTGAGACTGCTCATTTTGTCGAAGTGACTTGGCTGCTCCAGGCAAGAGCAGAATGGTTTTGTAATTACTGATACAACTTCCAGCAGCAAAGTTTCTGATAAATCTGCTTTGTTGTTATATGCCCTCAAGTTGCTTGTGACTCATTGTGACAACAGCCCTGAACCCTGCTCTATCCTGAGCCAACCTTATTGTCTCTGACACACCTACCTGCACTACCCCAGTCACTAAGTCAATCCAACTGCAGTGTCTTTGGGAGAAATATTGCCACTGTGGCAGTGCTGGGTGAATTGAAAATGCTTTCTTTTGGTTAGTTGAGTGCCAACTATTTGTACCATCCAAGGACCTATCTGATGAAGGTAGGACAGACTTACTTCCCCAATACCAATTAATTAACACCCTTGACACAAGCAGTCCGCAAATAAGGAGACATTGCACTGGGAAAATATTCAGTTAGGGACCTTTCCAAAGTATTGAGTAGTGGTGTAAGTTTGTGAACTAAGGTGCCTGATTCAGGCCATGGTCTTTCCAATTACTAGCTATGCATCCGAGACCTGGACAATGAATAAGGATGACAGAAAAAGAATTGACACTTTTGAGCTGTGGTGTTGGAGAAGAGCATTGAACATCCCATGGACGGCCATGAGAACAGAATGGATAGATCTTGGAGAGGGTGCAGCCAGAGTGCTCTTCGGAGGCAAGAATGATTAGGCTTTGTCTCACATACTTTGGACATTGCTAGGAGGTGCTTATTCCCTGGTGAGGCACATGATGTTGGGAAGGTTGGAGGTTCATTGAGGGAGAAGACCTTCATCCAGGTAGACTTGATGACTGCTGCAATGGGCTCTTGTGTGTCAGGAAGTGTGAGGATGGCGTGGGATAGAGACGGGTTTAGATCTTTTGTTCATAGGATCACTGTGAGTCATGCTCTACTCGACAGCATCTAACAACAACAATCCCAGTTAATTTTTACTCAGTGCCTTAGGGCATTATAATATATCCCCAGGAACACTGCATAACAGGATATAGGAAAGGAAAAGTGATGGTACACTGAAGGTCTTGGAAGCAGAGAAAGGCATGATTACATACATAGTACATGGATGGATTGGAGGGAATTACATTTAAGAAACATTTATTAGCTGAACCAGAGTTAAGCTAGAGGCATGAGAACCAGGCAGGAAGTTGCTACCAAAGAAAGCAGGTTTACAGTGAGGAAAAGACTTGAGTATCACATTTCCAAAGAGACTATGATAGTTACCTCTTGTATCCTTTTAAACTGTAAGTTTCTAGGGTATTCCAAGGTCAGCTCTGTCATATAGGAATCTTCCCCAGCATTAGTTACCATCACGTTCATAGTCAGCTCCTTTGTATCACCCACCACCAAAACCTTCCTGCAAAGTGTATTCAAATAGAGAAAAGTGTTACTTGTTGTTGTTATGTGCCGTCGAGTCGCTTGCGACTCAAAGCAACCCTATGTACAACAGCCCTAAACTCCGCTCTGTCCTGTGCCAATCGCACTGTCTCTGACACTCCCATCCCAATTATCCCAGTCACTGAATCAATCCACCTCATAGAGGGCCTTCCTCTTCTGCGCCATCCCTCCACCCTCCCAAGCATGATGTCCCTCTCTAAGGACCGGTCTCTCCTCACAACATGTCCAAAGTAAGTTAGACAGAGCCTCAGAATCCTTGCCTCCAAGGAGCCACCCGGTTTAACCCTCTCCAGGACAAATCTGTTTGTTTTCCTAGCAGTCCATGGTATTCTCAATATTCGTCTCCAGCACCACAGCTCAAAGGCATCAATTCTCCTTCTATCCTCCTTGATCATTGTCCAACTCTCTGATGCATAACAGGTGATTGCGAAGACCATAGCCTGTATCAGATGCACCTTAGTCTCCAGAGAGACACCACTGCTCTTCAGCACTTTGGAGAGGTCCCTAACAGCAGACTTTCCCATGGCAATGCGCCTTTTAATTTCCTGGCTGCTGGTGCCAAGACTGTTGACTATAGACTGCTAGTTTATTTAATTACAAAAAAATCCCAAACACAACCAATCCCAACTAGATGCAATATAATTAAAGCCCAGAAGTCATTACTGTGGAGTCAGAAGCTATTTTTAGTGGATTCTTAGATAAATTGTCTAAATACATTGAGCCTTGATTATCTTTCCCTTAACATAAGCAAACATTGGATTGCCACCACATGACCTCAGTAGATGGATGCGATAGTAAAAATGGCTATTGTTGTTAGGTGCCATTGAGTTGCTTGCAACTCATAGTGACCCTATGTACAACAGCTCTGAACCCGGCTCTATCCTGAGCCAACCTTATTGTCTCTGACATACATACCACCATTACCCCAGTCACTAAGTCAATCTATCTCATTGAGGGTCTTCTCTCTTGCACTGTTCCTCCACCCTCCCAAGCATGATGACCCTCTCCAAGGACTGGTCCCTCTTTGCAACATGCCTAAAGTACGTCAGACGAAGCTTCAGAATCCTTGCCTCCAAGGAGCAGCTTGGCTTCACCCTCTTCTCCTGGCAGTCCACGGTATATTCAATACTCTTCTCCAGCACCACAGCTCAAAGGCATAAATTCTCTTTCTATCATCCCTAGTCATTGTCCAGCTGTCAGATACATATTAAGTAATTGCAAAGACCATCACCTGGATCAGGCGCACCTTAGTCTCCAGACTGACATCGTTACTATTCAGTACTCTGGAGAGCTCCCTGACAGGAGATTTTCCCAATGTAATTTGTCTTTTGATTTCCTGGCTGTTGGTACCAAGAGTGTTGATTGTGGCTACCATTTATTTATTATTTATTATTTATTATTTATCCAGTGCTTATCATGTGCCAGGGCTGTGCTAAATGCTTCAGCTAATTCTCCTAATAGTACAGCTACCCAGATTCTATTTGACATAGATGAGAAAGCTGAATCTAAGGACGCTAACTAAGTTGCCCAAGGTCAAGCAGAAGGAATTGAGGGAATTAGGTCTAATTCCAGTAAACAATTAATTTATTGTGATTTCATTACCTAAGTTGTTGTTCCATTCTACATATACATACACGTTTTATTTATACAGTGTCAGTTACTCTGCTCAGCACCAGACAGTGTTGCACAAGATACTGTTCCTGCTCTTCTAGAGCTTGCCCTTTCTGGACTTGAGCCTTCCCATCCATCAGATCATTCAGACCCTTCCAATTTAAAAACTTGATCTGTTCAGCCTGGAAGCGGGGGTGGCATGAGCTTCCTTTAGACTTCTGAGATGCTGGGATCCCAGAATGCAGAATGTAACAACAATTGAAATCTATGAGAAAAATACATTAACAGGAGGAAGACGATTTTTCTAACCACTTGAAATGCCCAGATAAGAAATGTGCAGCTCTGGGAAGAAGTGGAATGTATCTGGGAATGTGGTGGGGATCACTCTGGCAGCTGGAAAAGAGGATGGATTGACTGGGGAGAGAGCAAGATGGGATGCAGAGACCAGTTAGAGAATCTGATTCAACAGATGATAGGTGTCTGAAATTAAACAATAGTATTAATAGTAAAGAAGTGGGTAGATAGCAGAGATGATAAAGCCATGCTTGTGCACAGAGCAAAAAGTGAGAGAAAGGTCAGGGATGAACCCTGAAGTTCCAGCTTGGAGACTGAATAATGATTTCCTCTTTGGGCAGTAAGAGGAGTTGCCAGCAGGATTAGCAAGACTTGTTGGTGTAGCTGCTGGGTTGACTGACTCACAGTGGCCTATGTACGTGGAGGGGCTGCTTCACAGGGTTTTCCAGGCAATGACCTTGCAGAAACAGATTGCCTGTCTTCTTGCCAGGTTCCCCCAGGTGGGTCTGAACTGCTTAATGGTTGAGCCCTAGTAACTCTGGTCAGCAGGTTGTTGTCACTGTTAGATGCTGTTGACTTGGCTCTGATTCAGCAACTGAATGAAACACCACCTGGTCATGCACAATCCTCACAGTTGTTGCGGTTCTAGCATTGCTGTAGCCACTGTCACTCCACTGCATGGATGGTCTTCATCTTTTCTGCTGACCCTCTGAGTTACCAAGGGAGCTCTGGTGGCTCAGTGGTAAGGAGTTGCACTGCCAACCCAAAGCTATGCAGTTCAAATACACCAGTCGCTCCATGGGAGAAAGATGGACAGTCTCCTCCCATGCGAATTACTGCCTCTGAAAAGCCTCTGTACAATCAGCCACAAGTCAATTGGATGCAAGTACAGTACATAACAACAAATAACTACCAAGCATGATGTCCTTCTGCAGGGCCTAGCCCCTCCTAATAACATGCCCTGAAATAAGACAAAGTCTCAATATTCTTGCTTTTAAGGAGCATTCTGGCTGCACTTCTTCCTAGTCAGGCTTATTTGTTCTTTTGACTCTGGCCATCCATAGTATATTTAGTCTTCACCGACATCACAATTCAAAGGTATCAGTTCTGCAATCTCCCTTATTGTCCAACTTTCACATTCATGTGAGAGGAACAGAAATAGCATGGCTTGGTGCATCTTAGTCCTCAAGCTGACATCCTTGCTCATTATAGCATATTTGTCCAGTGTAGTGTATTGTTTGATTTCTTGACTGCTGCTTCCATAGGCATTAACTGAGATTCAAATAAAATTAAATCCTTGACAGCTTTAATCTTTTTACTGTTTATTGGTCCCATTGTGAGAATTTTTGCTTATTTTGAGGTGAAATCCATAATGAAGGCTATAGTCTGACTTTCATCAGGAAGTGCTTCAAGTCTTTCTCATTTTCTTTTTTATGTTATTTTGTAATTTTTTGTGCATGTACTGTCAAATCGGATCTGACCTGGTACAGGAGGAGATTGTCCCTCCTTCTCCAACAGAGCATCTGGTGGTTCTGAACTATGCACCTCTGGAATTACAGTGCAACTTCTTACCACTAGGCCACCAGAGCTTTTCTAAGACTTTCTCATTTTCAGCACACAAGGTTGTGCACGGTAGACATATTTAACTATTGGTTGATTAGAGCCCACAAGAAAGGACTTTGAATCATCAAAATATTTAACAATGAAACTTAACTTGAGGTCTAGGAACAATTTCAAAGGGTCTAAGGGGAAGATCTTGTAGCTCTCATTAAGGTCTTTCAGGGACCCAGGGCTACCAAAAAAGAAAACAATCCAACCCACTAATTCAGTTGGATGGTGTTCTGGTGACCTAATGGTAAGGAGTTGTGCTACTAATCCAAAAGCACACTGTTCGAATCCACTAGCTATTATGTGGGGGAAAAGATGGACACTCTCTCCCAATACAATGTACTGCCTCTGACAACCTGCTGGAGCGTCAGCTATGGGTCTGTGTCCACTCAACATTACAACAGCAATACTTTTCTTTTTTAAAAATTAAATTTTATTAATTTTAATGAACATTTACAGAGATTTTGGGTTTCCATTCATTCATTGTTGCACTAAGCAATACTTTTCAATAAGGAAGAGAAGTACTTGTTATGTACACTAGGTGGTGGTATGAGGCAAACTACGTGTGTCGTTCACAGAGACTTGGCTGAGAAGGCAGTTCTTGGCTCTAATGAATTCCTTGTTGGAAACAGCTGCATGTCTTGTTAGGCTTAGTTCCAAGCCTCTCTAAAGTGCTGAATTGGGTCCTCAAGAGGCAGTCTTAAACAAGCCACATAGGAAATGCAATTCCTGTACACGCCTATAAGAGGGTTTACCAGGACTCAAGGATCAGCTTTCTTCCTCATAGATAGATGCCAGTGTTGCCCAACTAAGGGCCATCAGTGCCAGATTGCTCACACAGAATTAGTGGAAAGTGTGGGCATTTTAAGACCACCACATATCTCAAACCAGACCCATACTCTTTCCCACTCTGCTTCCCAAACCATTCTCTCAAAGGTTTCTCCATTTCAGGGATTTGTAACGCCATAATTCTAGAATCCAGTGTGATCCAGCAGAACTCCGCAGCAGCGGAGGGAACGCTGTATCCATGATGCCCACTGCATCGTAGGCACTGAACACTTAGAAAGTGGCAACGGTGAAAGAAAATGTTCCGTTTTATTTAATTGTGTTGTCACGTACTGTTTGAGTCCAAACCAACTCATAGCTGACCCTCCAGCAATTTTCAGAGACAGTTATTCACACAGGAGTCTGCCTGCCTTTCTCTCATGGTGCAGCTTGTGGATTTGAACCCTGTGCCTTGGGTTGGTAGCCCAACTCTTTACCACTAAGCCACTGGAGCGCCTACTTAGTTTAAATAGCCAAGTTTGGCCAGTGGCTACTGGACAGCAGAGTCCTGGAAGTTCAAGCTGAGACTTATGTAGAACCTTAGAGGTGCCTCTCTCTCACTCCCCACATCCAGCCTATCAGCAAATGCTTCACTGCTGCCACCTAGCCCAAGCCACTCACTCTCTGTCGTCTCTCACTTGAGTTACTAAAATAGCTCCACTTTTCTCCCTCCACTTTATTCTTAACACAACAGTGAGAATGATCCTGTTAAAATACCCTTCCTCTTGGCTCTCCAGTTTAGAGTAAAAACCCTTATGGAAGGCCTATTGTTGTTAGGTGCTGTTAAGCACAACTCACAGTGACTCTATGAACAATGGGTGTGCATCCTGCCCTGTCCTGTGCCATTCACATCATCTCCAACACACTTGAGGCCATTGCTGCAGTCCATCTTGTTGAGGGTCTTCCTCTCTTTTGCTGACCCCTTCACATCTCAAAGCATAGTGTCCCTTTCTAAGGACTAGCCTCTCCTAACATGTCCAAAGTATGTGAGATGAAGCTTCACTATCCTTGCCTCGAAGGAGCACCCTGGTTGCACTTTCTCTAAGACAAATCTTTTTTTGGAAGTCCATGGGATATTCAATACTCTTCAGCACTACAACACAAAGGCATCAATTCTTCTGTCATCTTTATTCATTGTCCAGCTCTTAGATGCATAGCAGATAATTAGAAAGACCTTGGGTTGAATCTGCACACCTTAGTCCTTAAACTGACATCCTTGCTCTTCAGGATTTTGGAGAGATCCCTGACAAGATACATGATAGATGGGGAAAAGATTGAAATTGTCAACAATTTCATACTACTTGGATGGAGTGCCCAGGAAGTCCTATTTAACACCCCTTCTCTACTCCCCGCTTAGGACTTCTCTCATCTGTTTTCTTCTTGTTCTCTGCCTTCTTCCATGTTAACCACATTAGTGACCCTGCCATTCTCCCCACTTGCCAGGCATCTCCCATCTCATGGTATGTGAACGTGTCTCCCCCAACTCAGGCATCCACATAGCTCACCCCCTCCCCATGTTTGCCAAAATGCCCCCTCACAGTGAGCTGAGCCCTTCCCAGACTGCTCTGTGTAAAACTGTAATATGTTTACGGCACTGAAGTCTATGGGGGAGAGAA